AGTCAAGCAAGGATAGATACATTCCTGTGCTCATATCCATATTACTGTAATGCGCGTTCCTTTTATGAAAGGGGAGGCGCCAAATGATTACATACTTTTGAGGGAGGCGTAGTAACTTCAAGTTTGGAAACCACTGGTCTAATTGGATGAAAAACGAACGTTATTTTTAGTTTAAAAGGATTAAATAAACTGTGAATGATAATGATAATGATATAAATGAGTCCTTCATTTGCCAATTAAAGAAAGCTTAAATATTAATCTGAAAATGGATAAGAAAAAATGCTTTTTATCGTATATTTTCGGCTGTAATTACTTTAAAAGGATTAAGTAAACTATGTATGATAATTATTTACAATTAAATCGTTTTGTTTTAAAATTAGTTGAATATAAAATGGTAACGTTTCTTTTATGACATTTTTAGTTTAAAAAAAAAACATAATTTACAATTTTTTAATATTTTCAATGTTCAATTATAGTTTAAATTATAATAATAATATTTACTGAAATTGTAAAATTATAAAATAAAATAAAAAAACTCAATTCAATTCAATAATATAAATATGATAAAGGTCTTTCTGCCCTAGTTTAATTAACCGAAATTTTTAACTGAACCGTTACGGTAATCAGAATGAAAATTTGTCCAACTGACCGAAACCGGAACAAAATTAATATCGGTTCGACTCTCTGATTCGACGTTCTTTTTCGGTGCACCTTTTATTTCTTTTTGACTGATATCGGTTCGACTCTCTGATTCGACGTTCTTTTTCGGTGCACCTTTTATTTCTTTTTGACAGACGATGCAATTAAGTGCACCGCAGACATTATCGTTCATAAGCATCACGTTGACGTCCTCGTAAAATTTCACTTCCAAACAATTTTCGAGTCCAAGCAAATTGCTGGGCTGCAGAAATTCCCAATTGCCTAAGATGGTAACTGGTAAACCGGTGTTTTGCCAACCGAACTTCAGCGGTCCCGTCGCCACTCCAGACGTCCAAAACTGATTCCACTTAACGTTCTTGAACTGAAATACACCAATAATAACAAAAATTGGCACAAACATCAAATTCTGAGCGCACCATTTCTGACGATGTAGTTTTTCACTTCGTCGAATTCTTGTTGGTTGTTGAAGCTGACCAATTCCATTCCCAATCTGGAGCAATACGTTGAGGCCTGAAAGAACGTCGCCTGCAAATCGAAACATCTCAAAATTGGCGAATTTGGATGGATTTGGAAAAGGTAGTTACCTTGAAAAAAGTTTCCACGTAAAAACCTTTGCCGCCATTCACAAAGATCGGATTTGAATGATTTGAATGATTTGAATATAAAATAGTAATGTCTTTTTTATCACAATTAATTTAAAAAATATAACTATTTGTAATTATGTAACTGATATTTTTCAAGGCAGCATTTTAAACTGTTCAAGCTGTAAAATTACAGCTATAATATCAATTATAGAATGCGTTTCATAATCAATATTTATTGAAAACTTCTCAAAAGTTTTTCTATTTTTGTTTATTTTTTTACTAAACCGTCATAAAAGAAACGTTACCATTTTGCAACCAAATAACATTGAAATGAAACAATGCAACTGTATGCTTTTGTCATAGAAAGTTTACTTCATCTTTTCAATACTTTATAGCATTGACACCAAATTGATAAATGTTGACTTTATATAAAATAGGAAGGAAAGTTTTCATGCATGCAACTTGTTCATATGTGTATATGTTTTTGCTTATAAAGCGCGCAGTATTTCCATGTTTTTTTCAGTGTTGCTGCGAAGATGAATCCCATTTCCACTTAAGTAGTTATGTTAACAAAAAGATCTATTGAAATCCACCCAAAGTGACTGTTTGGTGAGTCATTTGCAGTGAAAAAGTGATTGTCCTTACAAGCAAACGCTAAAAGAGTTTTTTTTTTCTGAAACTTGTTGCATTGGGTCTCGATTATTGTAACTAATAAAACTGTAAAAAATAGTCTCGTGTTTCTTCATTAAATGCTTCGTTTTTACACAGAAATGTTACTATTTTCTCACATATGTATGAAATTAAATAAACACAGATAATTGTTGACAATATTTGTTCATAGGAGTTCAAGGAGTTAAAGATAATTTATAATGAAACGAGATTCATCTCTGCAATATTCACATGTTCCATCAGTGTTGTTTTCGCCTGCTGCGATGATGAATCTTAAATTGTTGACGATTTTATTGGTCGCATTGGACGGCTCATCGACTTTAACGTTCGTGAGAAGAAGTCCATTTCATTACGAGTACAAAGACATATTTTATTATTTTGAAACTTTCTACAAGGTGATTGAATCTCTTTTTTTGTTGCTTGATTTTATAATATTTCTTTTTGCAGGCTACATGGTTCAAGGCCTTCATGTCCTGCAGTAAAATGGGCATGCAATTGTTGAGCATTGATTCCGATGAAGAGTTCGATAAAATCCATGAGTTTCTCAAGGATAAAAGTAAGTCGTTTTTCATTTCCAAGTGAACTTTGCATCTTTAGATTTACTTCGTAGTTGAATATAAGCCTGAGCTGTCAATCTGGACGTCGGGAGCGATGAAGCGTATTGGCCAATTCAATTGGATCAATACCGGATATCCGGTTAGATTGTCCAAGTGGCATCCGGGCGAACCGAACAATTACGGTGGACGCGAATACTGCTTGAAAATTTGGATCAACGACAACAGATTCTTGTTGGACGATGATAGGTGCGACAGAGAAATGCATTTCATATGCGAATCGAGGAAATCTTCCTCAGATTGTATTTTCTACATTATCTAAGATTGTTTTGAATGTGTTTAAGAATCATGAAAATAACTACCATTCCCATAGAAATAAATACTTTATGCTTGTCGAATCGTCAGTAATACTCGTTTGAAGGAGCCATTATTACAAATAACCACTAACAACAGTTAATAAACTTATCCTTCTGCAATCTCATAGCTAATCTCATCAACTGTGGCCTTCCAGTTCACCAGTCTGAATCTGAATCTTGAATGCTTCTATCCTCGTTGATCCTTCTGCTGAAGTATTCCGCTCTCATTTCTCTAGGAGAAATAACATCCTTCCCTGAAGACCCTGAAGATGTGCTGCCCCGATCATGCAAACATGTCCATCCTTGTTCTCCCAAATGCTGACAATGTTATGCTCCAGCGTGGAAACAATGATTCTTTGTATCTCTGCCACATGTGGACTACAAATAAATAATAAAGGTGTAAAAACGATTTTTGTGTTTCTTTTTTAAATGCTTCGTTTTTACACAGAAATGTTACTGTTTTCTCACATATGCATGGAATTAAGTAAACAGATATTCAATTGTCAATATTGAAAGATTTATTCATATTTGACCTGTAAGGAGTTAATGATAATTTATAATGAAATTGAACTGGAATTATTTATTTTGCAATATAAAGCTGCAGTATTTACGTGTTTCTTCAGTGTTGTTGTAAAATTATTGACGATTTTATTGGTCGCGTTCGGCGGCGGCTCATCGACTTCAACTGTCGTGAAAAGAAGTCCGATTCATTACGAATACAAAGACAAAATTATTTTATTATTATATTGAAACTTTCTACAAAGTGATTGAAAATTTGCTGTTGCTTGGTTTTATAATATTTCTGTTGCAGGCTACATGGTTCAAGGCTTTCATGGCCTGCAGTAAAATGGGCATGGAATTGTTAAGCATTGATTCTGATAAGGAGTTGGATAAATCCAATTACATCTTCAGCCCATAATCCGCACTAAACGGTGACTCTTTGTGGGATCTTGATTTCCCCAAATTCGGCAATTCTGCTTATTAACAAAAAACCATCCAAATGAAAATGAACTTTAACCAAATTTGTTTTAACGATCACAATACGTTATTCTTTTGTATAGTGACCGATTTTTAATAATCTAATGTCAAACATTAGAGTTTACAACTTAAATTAAAAAAAAATGGAAGGAAATTTAAATGAGGTTTTAAATATGTACGAAATTAATGAAAAATATCTTCAGTTGTCAATATTGAGAGATTTATTCATATATTTGATGAACTCCAAGGAGTTAAAGATAATTTATGATAAAACTAGATCGAATTACTTGTTTTGTTATAAAACGCTGCAGTATTCACTTGTTCCTTCAATGTTGTTTTCGCCTGCTGCGATGATAAATCTGAAATTGTTGGTGATTTTATTGGTTGCGTTCTGTGGCTGTTCGTCTTCTACGTTCGTGAAGGATAAACTCTATTATTTCGAAACTTACTCTAAGGTGTTTGAATCTCGATTTTGTGTTTGTTGCTTTCTTTTAAAACATTTTTTTTGTGCAGGCGTCGTGGTTCAACGCCTTTACGAATTGCAGAAAAATGGGCATGGAATTGTTGAGCATTGATTCCGTTGAGGAGTTCGATAAAATTCATACTCTCGTCAAGGAGAAAAGTAAGTCGTTATTCATTTCCAAATGAAATTTGTATCTATTAGATGACTTTACAGTGGAATATAGGAATGGTCTGATGATCTGGACAGCTGGAGCGATGAAGGATGTAGATCAATTTTATTGGATGAACACCGGAAATCCGGTTCTATCTTCAAGATGGCATCCGGGTGAACCGAACAATGGTTATGGAAACTCCCACTGCATGCAGATTTGGATCAAAAACAGTACATTCTTGTTCGACGATACTCAATGCTCCAATAAACGGTTCTTCATTTGCCAATCGAAGAAAACTTAAAGATTAATCTTTATCGCATATTTTCGGCTGTAATTACTTTGAAAGGATTAAGTAAACTGTGTATGATAATTACTTACAATTAAATCGTTTCGTTTTAAAATTAGTTGAATATAAAATGGTAACGTTTCTTTTATGACATTTTTAGTATAAAAAAAAATAAACATAATTTACAATTTTTTAATGTTTTCAATGTTCAATTATAGTTTAAATTATAATAATAATATTTACTGAAATTGTAAAATTATAAAATAAAATAAAAAACTCAATTCAATTCAATAATATAAATATGATAAAGATCTTTCTGCCATAGTTTATTTAACCGAAATTTTTAACTGAACCGTAACTGTAACCGGAACGAAAAATTGTCCAATTGAATAACCGAAACCGGAACGAAATTAATTTCGGTTCGACTCTCTGATTCAATTATGAATGTGGATAATTTACGTTAAAACTAAATAGGACGTCAATATCTGAATAATAATAATTTTCAGGTAGTTGCGTTCTTTTTCGGTGCACCTTTTATTTCGTTTTGACAGACCATGTAATTAACGAACGCCATGTAATTTCACTTCTAAACAATTTTCGAGTCCAAGCAAATTGCTGAGCTGCAAAAATTCCCAATTGCCCAAGATGGTAACTGGTAAACCGGTGTTTTGCCAACCGAACTTCAGCGGTCCTGTCGCCACTCCAGATGTCCAAAACTGATTCCACTTAACGTTCGGTATTGAAATACACCAACAATAACAATAATTGGCACAAAAAGCAAATTCTGAGCGCACCATTTCTGACGATGTAGTTTTTCACTTCGTCGAATTCTTGTTGGTTGTTGAAGCTGACCAATTCCATTCCCAATCTGGAGCAATACGTTGACGCCTGAAAGAACGTCGCCTGCAAATCGAAACATCTCAAAATTTTGCAAATTTGGATAGATTTGGAAAAGGTAGTTACCTTGAAAAAAGTTTCCACGTGAAAACCTTTACCGCCATTCACAAAGATCGGATTTGTAGTCGCCAAAATGACCACCAGAAGCATGGAAGAATACTGCATGTTTGCAACTGTAACCATTATTGAGATCCACATGCATTTATAATTAACAATACTAGAAAAATTGGGCAGATAATATTATTTATCAATGATAAAATGTATAAATTTAGAAATGACATCAATAATATTTACCAATTTTCATGATTGGTTTGAAAGAGTTCTGAAATATCGTCTAATTGGATGAAAAACGAACGCTATTTTTAGTTTAAAAGGATTAAATAAACTGTGAACTGTGATAATAATATATAATTATATTGATTTGTTTTCAAATTGATTTTCAAAATTTTTATTGATTTATAAACATGTTGAGATGAATTATGGAATAATAGTCATAGTCCAAATAACCGCCTCGACTTTTTGCTAAGCCAAATTCAGAAGAAAAAAAAAACACGTTGAATCTCTGCTTTCAATTCAGGAATTGTTTGCGGTTTGTTAACATTGTGTCAAATGTTGTTTTAACATATCGAAGGATTCTCTTGCTGACACCAATCCTATTGAAACCACATTTATTCGAGGTCCATGTCGTTCAATTGACTTCACAAAAAGTTAAATTATTCCCAAAAAAAGAACAGTCCAATTATATCTTCAGCACCAAACAGTTACTCTTTATGGGTTCATAGTTTTTTTCATTAATAACTCAAGGATTTTCATTGCTAAAATTCGAGAATTCTGCTTATTAACAAAATCCGACGTACCCTATAATATATTAAAGAAAACATTACTGTTTTCTTACGTATGTACGAAATTAAATAAACAAATATTGAGTTGTCAATATTGAGATATTTATTCATATATCTGATGACCTGTAAGGAATTAAAGATAATTTATAATGAAACGAGATTCATCTCGAATTACTTATTTTGTTATAAAACGCTGCAGTATTCACATGTTCCATCAGTGTTGTTTTCATAATGTTTGAATATAAAACTGAAAATAGAGAGAGAAAAATGCTATAATAAACATATAAACGTTTGAGATTAAAATTATTCAGTTCACCATAAATCATATCATATCTAACGTAAGTTAAGGTTCCATTTCATCCTAAGATTGAGGAATTTCTTAATTAGATTTTCTAATTTTTGTAATCTTGTTTTGAAGGAAAAAGAAAAATTGCGTTTGTAATAAACACAAAAGTTTTGTACTAATATCACTGACATTGCCATACATTACGTCAAACATATTTATATTTTCATTTGATCGTTTAACAAGAAGGCACTTCTAGGTAAAGCTGAATGAAGAGTTAACTTTGTTACGAGCTATTTTCTCCGGTGTTCCTCAGGGTAATGTTTTGGGGCCATTACTATACTTGCTGTTCACTGCAGAACGTTACGGTGGCTACTATTATCCGTCAACTGCTCCAATTAAGCTTTGAATAACATCCAAGCTTGGCTGAAGAAATAGAGGATTAAAGCCAAAGAGAGCAAGTCTGTGCATGTTGTCGTGTCCCAGGGATGGATTTCTGGACACTGTGGAATATCTTTTTCTGTTGTCTGTTGTTGAGCCTTAGGTTTGATAAATAATAAATTGAACGAGTTTTACTTTCGGTTTATTACGGCTTGATTCTTTAACGTTCTTCCTAAGACTAATTGCAAATACTTATTCTACGTATAAAATTAACTAAGCAAGGAGATGGGAGTTTTAGGAGTAGGGCACGGTTTTGATAAGACGCTCCGCTTCAGGTCACTGCTTCTATACAGATTTTGCCAATTCTGCGTCTGGTTTATCAGTTGAAATAGGAATGAATATTACAATCAGTCTCACGGTGAAGGTTTCCTTTATGCTGATGTATATAATTACACAAAGGCTAGAAGGCAACAACTGTCACATCAGGTAAATTGTACTGGTTACTTGATGGAAATTCGTACATCTCAGTTGAAAATAAGATTCTCATATATAAAGGAACTCAATTATGGGGTCTGCACGTAACACTACTATCTAATTGTTTACTTTTGTCATATAAAGTTTACTTCATCTTTTCAAAAATTCTATAGGTCAAATTGTCATTACTAGTTTTACATTATTGTCGAATTGATTATATAGACATTAACTTGGGAATATACAGATAATTTGGAATAAAACGACTTTTGTTGTTGAACTAAATTAGAAGTAAATGTTTCGTACTAATGTTTACAAAAAATGCTGCAAAATTGATTTAAGTATATCTTTATTCGTTCTAATAATAGAATATGTTACGTAATACATAATTATTAAATGAAACTTGTTCATATATCTGCTGACCTGTGTGGACTTCAAGATTATTTACGTGACAATGAACTTAATCTCGGATTTTTTCTCTGTATATAAAGCGCTGCAGTATTCGCATATTTTGTCAGTGTTGCTGCGAAGATGAATCTTAAATTGTTACTGATTTTATTGCTTGCCTTGTGCGGACCATCGGTTACAGATTGTGCGAAGAGATATGCATCTCATTACGAGTACAAAAACAAATTGTATTATTTTGAAACTTTCTACAAGGTGATTGAATCTCAATTTATTTTTGCTTGATTTAAAAAAAATAAAAACTCGGTTTGTAGGCCTCGTGGTACAAGGCATTAATGGCCTGCAGTAAAATGGGCATGGATTTGTTGAGCTTTGATTCCGATGAGGAGTTCGATAAAATTCATGAGTTCGTCAAGGATAAAAGTAAGTCGTTTTTCATTTCCAAATGAACTTTGTAACTTTGAGTTGACTTTGCAGTGGAATATAAGAAAGGTCTAGCGATCTGGACAGCGGCAGCGATGAAGGAAGTAGGACAATTCTATTGGATTAATACCGGAAATCCGGTTGTATCTTCAAGATGGCATCCAGCCACACCGGACAATGCTGCTGGGCACGCAGACTGCATGCACATTTGGCACACCAACAACAAATTTCTACTCGACGATACTCAATGCTATATAGATCAGTCCTTCATTTGCGAATCGAAGAAAGTTTAAAAAATATATGAAAATAGAATGGAAAAAATGCTTTTTATGTTGTGTTTTTGGCTGTAATTACTTTAAATCGATTAAGTAAACTGTGGATGATAAAATTTAAAAAAAAGCTGTAATCTTGATGTTCGTAAATAATTATTGGACATTTTTAAATTGATTTCTTTTTTGATAAAAGAAACGTTACAAATTTATCTTCAAGTAACTTTGAACTGATACAATCTAATTCTCTACTTTTGTCATATAAAGTTTACTTCATCGTGTCAAAAACTAAGTAAAATCGTCATTACAAGTTTTACATTATTATGGAATTCATTTGTCAATATTGATAAGTATGTTTATATCTTTGTTGGCCTTGACTTGTGAATATACAGATAATTTGGGATATTTTTGTTGTTATTAAACGTTGCGTTAATAAATTAGAAGTAAATGTTTTATACCTTTAACAAACAAATAACTTACAAAAATAAGAAAAAGTGTTTCTTTATTCATGCTAATAATAGAATATGTTGCGCGATAAATAATTATTAAATGAAACTAGGTCATATATCTGCTGACCTGTGAAGACTTCAAGATTATTTACGTGACAACGAACTTAATCTAGGATTGTTTCTCTCTATATAATGAGCTGCAGTATTCGCATATTTTTTCAGTGTTGCTGCGAAGATGAATCTGAAATTGTTGGTGATTTTCTTGGTTGCGTTTTGCAGTTTCTCGGCTCCGACTTACGTGATTAATAAACTCTATTATTTCGAAACTTACTATAAGGTGATTGAATCTGAATTTTTGTTTTTGCTTTTTTTTTTTAAAACATTCTTTTTGTGCAGGCGTCATGGTACAAAGCCTTTATGGCCTGCAGTAAACTGGGCATGGAATTGTTGAGCATTGATTCCGTCGAGGAGTTCGATAAAATTCATACGCTCGTCAAGGAGAAAAGTATGTCGTTTTTCATTTCCAAATGAACTTTGTAACTTTGAGTTGACTTTGCAGTGGAATATAGGAATGGTCTGACGATCTGGACAGCTGGAGCGATGAAGGATGTAGGCGAATTTAATTGGATGAATACCGGAAATCCGGTTCTATCTACAAGATGGCATCAGGGTGAACCGAACAATGACGGTGGAAACTCACACTGCTTGCAGATTTGGATCAACAACAACAGATTCTTGCTGGACGATACTCAATGCTCCAATGAACGCTTCTTCATTTGCCAATCGTATAAAACTTAAAGATTAATCTCAAAATGGAAAAGAAAAATGCTTTTTATTGTTTAAGTTTAAACATTAGTTGAATATAAAATGGTAACGTTTCTTTTATGACATATTTTAGTTTAAAAATAAAACATAATTTACAATTTTTTTAATGTTTTCAATGATTGGTACTGGTATACCCTGACCCTTTTGATACAATTTTCGAAGACTTTTTGCTTAATTTCAGAAAAAAAACGCGTTGGATCTCTGTTTTCAGTTCAGAAATTGCTTGTAGTTTGTTAGCATGGCGTCAAGTCTCGAAACATCTGGAAGTCCAATTAACGTCAGCATTTCTGGATATCACACGACCAAGAAAATGTTGTCTTAACAAATCGAAGATTGATCCCATAAAAAGTTAGATCATTCTCAAAAAAAAGAACGGTCCAATTTACATCTCCAGCCCCTAATCCACATCTTTGTGGGTTCATTTCTTATTTTCATTAAAAACTCGAGGATTTTCATTGCCCCAAATTCTGCAAAACCATCCAAATGAAAATCATCTTAAAGTTGATGTTTAAAAAAATATTTTAATTTTTTTTTTCGAACAGTCTCTGCAAAACTTTAACCAAATTTGTAATTGTTTTAACAATCACAATACATTGTTAGTTTGTATATTTTAATAACCTCAATAACAGCAAATATCAAAAATTACAGTTTCCAACTGAAATACAGAAAAAAAATAGAGGGAAATTTAAATCTGGTCTTAAATATGTACGAAATTAATGAAACAAATCTTTAATTGTCACTATTGAGAGATTTATTCATATATCTGATGAACTCCAAGGAGTTAAAGATAATTTATTTGCCAATCGAATAAAACTTAAAGATTAATCTGAAAATGGAAAAGAAAAAATGCTTTTTATCGTATATATTCGTTTAAGTCTAAACATTAGTTGAATATAAAATGGTAACGTTTCTTTTATGACATATTTTAGTTTAAAAATAAAACATAATTTACAATTTTTTTAATGTTTTCAATGATTAATTATGTAATATTCTGTCGGTAAAATAGCCGCTTCGGCTGTACTGGTATACCCTGACCCTTTTGATACAATTTTCGAAGACTTTTTGCTTAATTTCAGAAAAAAAAACGCGTTGGATCTCTGTTTTCAGTTCAGAAATTGCTTGTAGTTTGTTAGCATGGCGTCAAGTCTCGAAACATCTGGAAGTCCAATTAACGTCAGCATTTCTGGAAATCACACGACCAAGAAAATGTTGTCTTAACAAACCGAAGATTGATCCCATAAAAAGTTAGATCATTCTCAAAAAAAAGAACGGTCCAATTTACATCTCCAGCCCATAATCCACATCATTGTGGGTTCATTTCTTTTTTTCATTAAAAACTCGAGGATTTTCATTGCCCCAAATTCTGCAAATCCATCCAAATGAAAATCATCTTAAAGTTGATGTTTAAAAAAATATTAAAATTTTTATATTTTTATTTTTCGAACAGTCTCTGCAAAACTTTAACCAAATTTGTAATTGTTTTAACAATCACGATACGTTGTTGTGAAGACTTTTTCCTTATTTTCTGAAAAAAAAACGCGTTGGATCTCTGTTTTCAGTTCAGAAATTGCTTGTAGTTTGTTAGCATGGCGTCAAGTTTCGAAACATCTGGAAGTCCAATTAACGTCAGCATTTCTGGAAATCACACGACCAAGAAAAAGTGTGTCTTAACAAATCGAAGATTGATCCCATAAAAAGTTAGATCATTCTCAAAAAAAGAACGGTCCAATTTACATCTCCAGCCCATAATCCACATCTTTGTGGGTTCATTTCTTATTTTCATTAAAAACTCGAGGATTTTCATTGACCCAAATTCTGCAAAACCATCCAAATGAAAATCATCTTAAAGTTGATGTTTAAAAAAATATTTTAATTTTTGTTTTTCGAACAGTCTCTGCAAAACTTTAACCAAATTTGTAATTGTTTTAACAATCACAATACGTTGTTAGTTTGTATATTTTAATAAAATCAATAACAGTAAATGTCAAACATTACAGTTTCCAACTGAAATACAGAAAAAAAATTGGAGGGAAATTTGAATCCGGTCTTAAATATGTACGAAATTAAATAAACAAATCTTTAGTTGTCAATATTGAGAGATTTATTCATATATCTGATGAACTCTAAGGAGTTAAAGATAATTTATGATAAAACTAGATCGAATTACTTATTTTGTTATAAAACGCTGCAGTATTCACTTGTTTCTCCAGTGTTGTTTTCGCCTGCTGCGACGATGAATCTGAAATTGTTGATGATTTTATTGGTCGCGTTGGGTGACTCATCGGCTTCAACGTTCGTGAAGGATAAACTCTATTATTTCGAAACTTACTATAAGGTGATGATATCTGAATTTCGGTTTGTTTTCTTTTAAAACATTTCTCTTTGCAGGCGTCGTGGTTCAAGGCCTTAATGGCATGCGGTAAAATGGGCATGGAATTGTTGAGCATTGATTCCGATGCGGAATTCGATAAAATCCATGCGCTCGTCAAGGATAAAGGTAAGTTGATTTTCATTTCCATGTGAAATGTGTATCATTAAGTTGAGTTTGCAGTGGAATACAAGGAAGGTCTGATGATCTGGACGTCGGCGGCGATGAAGGAAATAGGACAATTTAATTGGATTTATACCGGAAATCCGGTTGAAGTGTCCAAATGGTTGTCGGACCAACCGAACAATTTCGGCAAAAACGAGTTCTGCATGCATATTTGGTTATACAATAAACAATTCGTGCTGAATGATATCCGATGCGATACTGAAGCGCACTTCATATGTGAATCGTGGAAAGTATAAATCTATAATATTGATAAGTTTCTCTCAATTTTGTAATCTTATTGTGAAATTTACTGCGTTTCTATTAACAAGAAAAACATGTTTTACACTAATGTAACATTTATCAAATAAATAATTTCAAAAAAAAAAAGCTGTAAAATTAATATTCTTTTTCTTCTTATTTTGTGATAATTATAGAATATATAGAATTATTTTATAATTGCAAATCGTTTTTAATTTTGTTTATTTTTTACTAAACATTAATAAAAGAAACGTTACCATTTTGTATTCAAGTAACTTTGAAATTAAACAATCTATAGTATTTTATACTGAAGTTATTAATCGTTAAATGTTGACCTTAATAATGCAACGAAAAAAAAAAACGTTTTTTTTCAGATATTTATGAATCTTGTTCATATATCAGTTAACCTGTGACCTCGGATTTGCTCTGCACATGAAGCATTGCATTATTCACAATATTTTTTTCAGTGTTGTTGCAAAAATGAATCTGAAATTGTTGGTGATTTGTTGTTGTTGTAGTCTATATTTTGTAAGCTTGAAAGATCATATAAAGTCGACTTCTTCAACTGCTTCAAAGGGCTATTGGCCATAGATCTTTCTGCTCTGTTTTTTTTTATTATTAAACTGTCATAAAAGAAGCGTTACCATTTAGTATGTAAATAACTTTGAAATGAAACAATGTAATTGTATATTTTTGTCATCAGCAGTTTATTTCATCTTTTCAATATTTAATTCGCGGAATTGGCAACAGTTAGTATTTTTTACTGAAGTTATTAATCGTTAAATGTTGACCTTAATAATGCAACAAAAAAAAAAACGTTTTTTTTCAAATATTTATGAATCTTGTTCAAATATCAGTTGACCTGTGACCTCGGATTTGCTCT